CAAGAACAGGATCTATTAGTGATTTTAGAATTACTGAAAAAGTTGAAAAGAATTTGAAAAGAAAGTCTAGTTTTTATAGCACAATATACTAAGAAAAAAAACCCAAACCAAAACCCACAAACCACCACCATCATCTTGTTTCCCAAAATATAAACCAGCCTGTGCCTGACTTGCCAATACTCTTTACAAGGCACTGAGTACTAGAAAGGATAAATTTGGATTCCAAAAGGATATATCTGAATGGGACAAGTTAACATACACTTTTATAGCTCTTGCTAATTCAGGCTCTAAGACTGTCTAAGAAATTAACGCTGCAAGGTTGGGCATAATCAAGAGCAGGACTGTGCCACACAGTTATAGATTAAAGATTATTTGATACACATTCAGCCACATTTCAGGAATTGAAAATAAGATTGGTTGGAGTCATCAAACGCACAGTAAAAACCCTTAAGACTATTCAAGAGGTTATTGTAGGAAAACCTTGGGAACTTAATGGAACTTATGCTTCCACATCCAAGAAAACACTTTTGATAATTCTTTCCATATTGAGTACTGCACAGTAAATGAGATACCCTGCAAATAATTATGATACAAATGTCAAAATCTAATTTAAAAAAGGGGTGGTATATATTCACAACACTTACACTTTACCCCAGTGTCAAGCTCAAATGCATGGATAGTTTCCAACAATCCTTCAATTAGTTGCTTAAATCTGGAATTTTCTTTCAGACTTCTGAAATAACATCACCACATGAGTTGTTTTAAGACAAATGTATGGGTAAGCTATTAATAGTTCTCCTAGAATTTAGGCTGAACAAAAAAAGGAGTAAAACTGCATAGTGGAAGATGAGATAATGAGAAATTATTGCCAAGGAAGAACAACACAATTCCCCAAAACAACCATTACTACGGGAATTAAAACTCTCACAAAGTGAAAATTTCTATTTTCCCTCATGTAGGTTTAGCACAGAGAAACTAGTTGTAATGACTGAACAATAATACAGTCTATACTTGATAGCACAAACATTTGCTAAGAATGGTGTCTTCACCTGCAATCACTTGAAAAAAGTTTATATTGAGGTAAGGCACTAAAGAGTTACTCCTTTAGAAACTGACAGTTTACTTAATAACCACCTTTCCTTTTTTCCTTGTCTTCTGCTAAGACATTTTTAAGACAATGATTAACTTTTCTTCAGAGTTCAAACTTCTCATCCTCAAGCCCACTTGCAAAGATGCATTACCTCTTGGTAACTTCAGTCTTGCAGAGAGGACACTGTATCACACCTTTTTTCTTCTTGCTGAGGAGTTTGAACATGCAGAACCTAGGAGAAAATAATAATCACAAGGGTAACAAAAGGGAGAATTTTATTTTCTTTAAAACTGAGCCTAGGTGTGTACCACTTAGTAGAAATCCTTCATTATCAAATTGAATGCCTGTATTCTTGTTTTGGTGTTATGATGAATTAATCAATTCCCTTTGACACATCTGTGAAACTGCAGTTATTTCTTATTCAGAATTGATTTTTCCCCTAAAATAGCGACACATTAAGTTATCAAAACACAGTATACACCATTAGCACTAAAGAAAAGAAGTATACATGGAGAATAAGAACAGATTGACTAAGCATCACAATTGCAAATTTTCAAACCTACCTGCAGAATATGTGATCACATTTTGTTGAAACTGGCTCTGCTACCACATCCAAGCTACAAAAAGAAAAATGAAGGAAAACAACAACACAGAAGTTACATATAAAATAGAAGCAACAAAATAAGATTCAGAAATAGTCACTTTTCCGAACTTAAAAAAAAAAAACCAAACTTGGTGGGGAAGAAAAATAGGACACATTTGACAATTTTTCATTTGAGAACCAGGTACAGTAACAAATACTGTCATTATGTGATATATACATATCTACTAGCTCTTCACAATCTTTGTCTGCCTCTGGCAAGAAGACAGCATTTTCTGGAAATGCCAGTTCAAAAAAAAAACTTGGTGTTAGAACACCAATGTCTTCTTTTTCAACGCTGACCTCCTGTGACAAGAGTAAAGGACAGTGTAGTTCTGTTGGGTTCAGAAGCCCACTGGACTCTTACTATGTTTGTATAAACCAAATGCACAGATGTGTCAACACAAATAAATATTTAAGTTATTCCTTTTCCCCCCTGGTTTTCTATTCTAAACCCATTCCTGTCTAGCACAGTGTGAAAATGAACATTTAACTTGATATTAGGGCTTTCAGAAAAGCTCTAACCAATTAATTTGTTCAACTCACCTTAAAATATAATCTACCTTGAACACATACTAAAAACAAATAAACAAACAATAATTTAAAAAAATACTGCCTTAATTTAGGCATATACCAGTTACATAAGAAAGGTTTCATGAGTTTCATAGGCTGTGTATGTAGATAAGGAAGCCTCTCTGTGATTGTGTTCTGTCTACAACCTAGCAGTATGTAAAAAAGTTTATATAATGATTCCAATTAAACTACCACAACAACATAACTTGGACAAAAACAGCCAAAATAAATATAACGCTATTATTGCAGAACAGTCTAACTTGTGCCTATAGTAAAATATACACCAAGAGTCAAAAGCAGCCTCAGCATTACTTTTACATGCATTATTCATTCCCCAATCTCATTCATTCATATTTTTGGATGTTTTAATATTTTAATTTGCCATAATAGAAAAGAAAGATTATACCTTTATGCCTTGATGTCACATATGGAAATAAAGCGAGGCAGGCCCAACCTCACCATATTTACAGCCTTCTGCCCAGTTAATAATTACCAACAAAACTGCGAGGTGCATTAAAATCCTGGTTTTGAACTGCCATTACAACTTGTCTTGCTATTTAAGCTAAACAGTACACACTTCCGTGATCTTTATTGCACAAATACAAAAAAAGTAGACATTGAAAATCTCCATTCCATGTTGAAGTCAGCTTCCTCCCATCAATCAGCAGTACCAGACTGTGTAAAATCACTTTCTGAGATATTTCATTATGCCATCAAATTCCACATGCAATAAAGAACAGCAGATGTAGGAAACAGTTTCTAGTCTAGCTCTTGTAACATTGTTTGTTAAGTCAATGAATAACCAAGCCAACCATCCAATGGCGATACCTCAGCAAAAAGCATGTTGCCTCTTCAGAAAAGTTTGGATGCAAGTTTTTTTTTCTGCATAGTGCTGCAGACTTTCTATGTTTTCTGCTCTGTGCCTTTGTAATAGATGTTATTACCAACACAGAATTTATTTTGGTTTTCCAATGGCAGTAAAGTAAAATCTTTCCGAATGGATTTAAAATGTAAGGATTTAAAAACGTTTGCCACCATAGACAAAAAAAACTTCAGCAGTTTGGTTCAATGGAAGCAAGAGTCTTTCAAAAGCTTATTAGACATTCCAGGTATCTAGGCTTTAATTAGAATCGATGCTATTTCAGCATTTGTTTGCATTAAAGAACTCTCTTACCTTTTAGAGACAAAGGACAAAGATCCATACAAACAATACTCTAATCCCATCAGTTACATTTTTTTCCTCACTGGATAGAGGACTACTGATACATTTAGGTTGTAATAGAAAAGCAAAATTTACTACAACATAAGAGCAAAATACAGGTTCTGCCTTACACTTTCTCACTTGAGCCTTACAAAACATCAATATACTTAGCCTTGAAATACAATTCTTCTTGCTTTCTGATAGCCCATAGAACTGACAAAGCATTTGAAAAGAAAGGAAAAGAAAGAGAGAGAAAAACAAAAGGCTCATTTACTATACTAATATAGAGTTCACATTATTCTGGCATACCATATTGGGCACTCCAAGTTCTTCTGCATAGCTGAAAGCACATTTTGTACATCTCTGATAGCAATCACTGAGAAGTCCATCCTTCACATCCAAAAATACTCTACAGAAAAAAAAAAAAAGTAATCAGTTTTGTTTCTGATCTGTTGCATCCCGTGACCATGTTTTCTCCTGTATGGCTTTTCTGTAACATGCTGAACAGTATCGAATACTTACCTGCTATTTCTTGAAAAGAGGCTTTACAGCGCTGCTGGAGTTCTTACTCTGAATGTTTACAGTTAAAACCTGTCAAGCCTCTTGTAGTCAAAGGGGCAAACTGAAAGGGTTTACAGAAGTAGCATTCAGCAGAAACTCGGCAAAGGCACACACAAGCATAACACAGGGAAAAAAAGGCGCATTCTAGGTGGAAAAGCATGTGAAGGAGACAGCAGACACGCTTACACAAAGGACCCTGCGAACTGCCTACACCAAGCGGCACAGGTAAGACCCTACAGCAAGTATCACAAATCCTGAAAACAAAGAGAAACCACTTAGACCTTTACGCGGCAGCAGCTCAGGAGCAGGGACAGGCCCTGCAGCAGGCCGGAGCGGAGCCGTCCAGCACCC